TTTTGAATCGCACTGATGATTTAATTTCCATGTAAAATGAAACTTGAGTAGTGTCAGTAACGCTTCTCATCAAGGAATTCAAAATATATGCTTAGAGTCAAAGGTCCAATAGGCTGAAAAAGAACAAATGTAACAGTCCATGACTCTCTTGACCACATCTAATTTTTTGCCTTATGAAAAATTTGTATGTATAGAGTCAACACAGAAAAACTAGAAATAAACATGTACTAGCAAACTCTTTCAACTAAGGAGGAACGACGCCTAGATGTTTGAAAGCTTTTGAGCCCATATTTTACCCTAGAAATAGGGGATTAGTAGACTAAAACAATCTTCAAAGGTTTTGCACTCTTATTGAGATTTGACTGAGATATCGAAGTTTTAGCCCATTTTTCCATTTAGGACCGTATGATTCAGCAAAAATTGCATTTTCGAATTTTGATCTGAAACTTTACCGACAGAAGGCCTGAATTTTAGATCGGGCCTAGGTTTACCTCATTAGTCCTCATAAAAAGTGTTATTTTTATGGATAGTTGGTAAACTTCATAGTGCGTAGAGGTATAAACTTTCATTAAAATCTAGTACCCAGCAAGATTGCGAAGTGTTCATCGGCACGACATAATATTCAACAGGATTGGTGCGAGTATAAGTGAAGTGATGATAGGATGCAATGGGAACAACCGATCACCTATTATTATCACCATATCAGCAGTCCAAACCGATAGTCCGTAGGAACCGGTAGCTGGCCTAACATTGAAACTGTTTGATACGTTAAAAACCTACGGTAAAGACTAATTTACTGATATCATTAGTCGCAGTTGTTTTAGAGAAGTCTAAATGAAGCAAAAATATCGGACTTTATCGTAGGTTTTCGATTTATTCACCAATTTCACTGTTAGACCGGTTATGACCACCATTGTATTTCTAGTTGCATGTCTTCACGGTTGAAATAAGATAATGCTGTGTTTCCGACATATATAATGTATACGGTTATTTTCACCGGTAGCACAGAAGGGTGGGTGTGCGTGTGATTGTAGGATATGATGGTAATATAGGGTCATCATTTGGCAAGACTCTCACATTCATATTTATACTCATACTGGCACCCTTGAATTTCAATCTACATTAATTGTTTCATATAGAAAAAATTTTCTCTGCAACTTTCATCGCTGCTTAAATATATCGTCTCATATACACTTTCACTAAATATAATATCATACGAAACTTCCATATTTATTCAAGAAAAAACTAAAAAAAATATTGAATAATCATCATCTATTCTTATGTAAATAGTCCATAAAATGCATTAGAGTCTCTTCTTACCATAGACTTTGTTGCGAAAGAATTCTTTTGTTTAGTGCTACCAAATTCTGTCACTTCCCATGGAGTCAAAAAATTTAAAAAAATGGTATTAAAATGATGAAAAAGACAAAAAATTGATGTATTTCAAAGTCATTGATTGAAATGAACATTTTCATGAAGTTCACCTCATAATTTTAATTAAAAACCAAATATACTGCAGTTGCTTGATTATAATACAGATTTTCGTTAATGAATTGGAAAACATAAACTTTTATGTCCATTTAAAAATCGAAAGTGCCATTTTTTCGCATTTTTGACATAAAATTCACTAAACTCATTAAATATTTTTGACTTTTTAACTTCATTCGTCCAGAACCAACAACTCCACCAATGCCACCAAGTCAAACAACGCCAGTTCCACCAGGACAAACAACGCCAGTTCCACCAGG